TAATATGGTCTTTGACTCTTGGGCTATTATTACGGAATATTTTCATTTCTGGCCTCTGGTTTTTACGAGTTCTGCTCTCTCTCTCTCTCTGATAATCTTCCATTTCTTAGGTGAATGGTAGCTTGGTTCCTTGTACATTAATCTTCTTGGGGGGCTGGTTTTACATTGTGGTAATGGATTCGTCGATTTTGCATAAACACTTCAGGTTGGAGAGTTTCGACGAGGTTTTTTCTCTACTCAATTTTTCGGAAAGAGGCTCAATCTTGGATAAGGCGATTGATGTTTCTAGTGCAATCTGGAAACGGATGTATTAATCTTTTTAGTTTCTATTTATTTATTTGTATCTCAAAGAAAATGGGAAGGTTTTTCTTTATGTTCAAGCTAAAAACACTCACAATATTTGAAATATAGGAGTATGTAGGGAAGGTTATGAGTATCAGGGAAAAGATAGGAAGAAAGGTTTTGGATGTTTTGAAGATTGTTGAGGAAGCTGTCAAAATACAGATGCCTTTTGTCTTTAAAACTGGTTGGAGATTTACATAGAGCAATTGGGACTTTGTCTTTTCAAATTTTTGTAGATAGTGATTGTTCATCCTTTTTGATTGTATATTATATTATCTATGAAAGACGCGATTAACAACTAATAAGGTTCAATGAATCTGTAACAAAACTAATTTTTTAAGATATTCGTCAAAATTGTTGGATTGGTAGATTAATGTGCTGCTCGTTTCTTTGATGATCTCGATTATGTTACTGAGGGAGAAAATGAAACTCAAAAATTAAGAAATGTTTACATTTTATTGGATTTCAGCTTTTTTTTTTTTTTACACTTTAATATATGAAGTTTTCAAGAAAATAATAATTAAAATAATAATCATAATTTTTTTTTTAGATTTTAATTCAAATTAGCGATGAAAATTCATTGTTAATCATCAATGAACTTAATATGTGGATAATTTGTGACAAAAAAATTTATTGGTAATATCGTCGCTAATTAGCGATAGAAATAGCCGTTCGTAAATGTCGATGGGTTCTTCCATCGCTAAATTACTGACAACCTAAGTAATTTGTCGCTAAATTAGCGGTGGGGATATTACAATCGGATTTTCCGACTGAATAATTTAGTTGGTAAAAATCTTTAGCGACGAAATTAAGGCAATGACAATGAAAATTTTCGTCTCTGAAGCCACATTATTTTGTAGTGTATGGTGGAAAAGTCATCATAGAATTATAAGAATATTAGGTATGAATATGCCATTTTACAGTGGAGCTCTTTTCTTTTATGGGATGAAGCATTAATGACTGTCGTATATTTGATCAATTGATTCCCTTCGTACGCACTCAATTTTGGAACACCAAATTTCAAATTGCATAGATCACAACCGATAAGATTGTGTTAGGTTAGCTTTATTTTTCATGAAAAATATTATTTTCCCATCCAAACTCCTACTTATTAGGTGTTTGATGGACAATTTTTTCATGAAAAATATTTTTTTACTTTTGGTCATGGGGCCATATTTCTGTTTTTCAGATAATTCAGTCTCTCTTTCTCTTTCTCTTTCTCACCTATCCCCCCTATCTTATCCATGCATCAATAAAAAATGAACAAATATAATATTTTTTAAGTTAAAAAATAAATCAATCAAACATGTTTAATAAATAATTTTCATACAAATGATTATAGGCAATCGAATTGTCTAGAAATTATTTTCTTTCCATGCAAACAAACAAATGCACCTAAGTGACAAATATGAAGGATATAAATGCTTTCAACCAATAAACAAAGAAAATTTTGTGTTATGCGATTTAGTTTTTGATGAGAAGGTATTCCCCTATAAAGATTTGAACTCTACCAGAAAGATTCCTCCAAATACTCATATTCTACCAATATTTGATCCCTAGTTACCACCAATAGCTACTCATGTTAAGTGTGCAGGACAATCTCCAACTTCTGACATACCACCATGTATGTGTCCTTTACCTTGGTCACAACTACAACAAATCATTCTACTCCCTTTTTATCAGAAATACAACCATCTCCTTCCACTTCACCAAGAAATCCTCATTTAGTCAAAGATAATTTACTTTCAATTATTTTTTAGCAAATTTTATGCTAGTAGTTGCATATTTCATTCCAAGTAGTTAGCTCAATTTAGTCTATTTAAACGGTCTTTATAACATCTTGTGCTCTAGCATTCAACAAAGAACATACAGAAATAATATAGTTATTTTTTTTTTTACTTCCAACTTAATTTTTCCACTAAAAGCTATATAGATTTTCATTTTTTTTTTTAAAGTTGACTTTTCATATGATTAGAACAATGTTTGGAACCTATTTAATTTATAAACAAAATCCGTCAATTCTACTTTTCATTCACATATTTTGTAGAACTCACAAGTACTACATACTTATTTATCATTCATTTTATATATTTATAATAAAAATTATTATAATCATTTTCTAGATATGCACATTCAGTGACAACCAACAGATGTTACTGTGCTTCATCCTATTTTTACACATTTTTGTTGCTGAATCTACTGTTCTAGCTCAAGGCTTAAGCCGAAAATGACTAAGCTATCTCCGAGAAAATAGGTGCAGATACATTTACTAGTACACATAATTTCAAGTTTAATAAAATTATATTGGCAGCTACGATACAATATTTACAGCGTATTCTTAGTGTGACATTGATAATATTCAAGGTGTAGTTTGAACGTGTCAGCATTTTGAGAGAGAATATTGTAATAAAATCAACATATTATTACCTCCTTGATGATGGCATAAGAAAATTTTATTTTCAACAAACAATGGACTTATATTCATTATGCTTGGAATTGAATGGGCTGCCATTGACCTTATCAATATCTAAAATCAATGTATGGGTTTGTTTGATACCTAAGTGGCACCAAAATCGGACAAAACCATTTGTTAGGCTACTATTCCCTCTGCATCTAAAGTATCAATTCTAACAAATATTGAACTCAAAAAGGAGGGAAATTTCTTTCTTTCGAAATCGTTTTGATATATTAGATGAATTGAATCTATTAGTTCCATTTGTTATACTTCTTGTTGAATTAAGTTGAGTGGATTTATATACGCTACAGAAAGAGTTTTCTTTTATGGTTGTTCTATATATGTCGACTTTTTATCGAGATCAATTGGATTACATTACTAATGAGGATTCAAAATATCACACATAGATAAGAGAGATTCAACAACTAAAAGAAAGATCGATTCTTTGGGATCCTTCCGTTTGTAGAATAGAGATAGAATTAGATTGATTTTCAAAATATCTTTCTGGATATTCCTTAATGTCCTATTATTAATTTGTCCGGCAAACTACTAGGAGCTCTGGATTAATCGTATTCTGGGTCGGAACAATGAACTTATTTGAAGTGACTCATTTCGTACCAAGAAGCCTATGTATGAACAAGGATTAATTTTACTTCCCCATCTAGCTACTCTAGGTTGGGTGGTAGGTCCTGGGTGGAAGTTATATGTGGAATACTTCATTTAATTTCCTCTATAGCATTGCACTTTGGTGATATTTATCATGCGCTTATAGAACCTGAGATACTTGAGGAATCATTTCCATTCTTCAGTTATGTATGGAAAGATAGAAATAAAATGACCATTTCACTTAATCTTGTTAGGTCTTGGTGCTTTTCTTCTATTATTTAAAGCTCTTTATTTAGGGGACATATATGATACATAGGCTCCGAGAGGGGGGAGATGTAAGAAAAATTACTAACTTAACCCTTAGTCCAAGTATTATATTTGGTTACCTACTAAAATCGCCCTTTGGAGGGGAATGATGGATTGTTAGCGTAGACGATTTAAAAGATATAATCGGAGGACATGATATACTGATTCTATTCAACCTCTTTGAATTGGAATAAGTTCAGTAATGAATCACGAAATCTTGGTGATCTTCTCTATCTAATGAAAAAGATCAATTTCATCTACTTAAAGATGGAAAAAAAGTTATTGGTCTTGAAGTACCATATCTTAGTGCAATTGGAGCATTAACCTATCTTGCAAATTGTACTCTGCGCGACATAACTTTTTTCTGTAAATCTCTTTACAATATATAACACTATACCAACTTAAAAATATTGTAATGATATTAAACATATTTTTTATTACCTGAAAGGTACTATTGATTTGAGAATATTTTATTCTCACAAGTCAAGGGAGATATGTGGATGCATGTCATATCTTCGATCCATGTAAAGCTAAATCACAAATAGAATATGCTTTTATATGTGGAAGAACAACTATATCATGGAGATCAGTGAAGCAAACTTTGACAACATCTTCAAATAATTTTGAAATTATTGCAATCCATGAAACATATCGAGAATGTATATAATTGGAGAACATAACCCATCATATCCAAGCATGTGGATTAATTTCAACAAAAATATAGTCCAACAATTTTGCATAAAAACAATACAACTTTTATTGCAAAACTCAAATGAAATTATATCAAAGGTTACAAGATGAAACATATTTTTCCAAAATTCTTCCATATACATGAGTTTTAGAATAATGATGACATTGATGTTTAACAAATTCGTCCAAGTAACAACGTGGTTGATTGATTCAAAAAGCACTGCCAATATTTACATTCAAGAAATTGGTTCACGGGATTGGAATGCGTCTGACTTAAAGATTTTCAATGGTCAACGTCAAGGAGAGTGATTGTACTTTTTTCCTTCGTTAAGGTTTTGTCCCACTGATTTTTTCTGACAATGTTTTAATGAGGCAAAATTTATTTTAAATACTCTAAAATAATTGTACTCCTTTTCGTTTGATATTTGTCTCATTATTTGACCCAACTTTGCATGCATCGAACAAAAGCTTTGATTTCATTTTCTTCCCCTAAAATTCTAATTTTTCAAATTAACCATAATTTTAATCTCACGTTTTGTAGTGTTCACAAGTATTATTTCCTTATCAATTATTTATATCTTAAAAATTATTTATTACTGTACTATACGAATGTAACTGTCTCATTCTAGAAGTTCAGTGTGTATCTTAGAACTTTATTCTTCTATGTGGATACTAATAGAGTGCGATTTCAAACAGGAATATTGTGTCAACGGTTAATTTGGATTGCAAATTGGATCTAAAAGCTATTGCATTGCAAGCTCGCAATGCAGAATACAATCCCAAGGTATGCTACTTCCATGATATGTCTTGTTCCGTTGTTTCTGTGATTCTTTTAGTTATCGTCTCATTAGGGGGACTGAGGTTTACTTATTGAGAGTTTTCCTTTTCTTTTAAAAATTTTGGATCATATTTTGACTTGAAGGTTTAGAAAATGGTTACATGATTTATTTTGTTTGTCATAATTATGTGTGCATTTCAGAGTTGGAGTAGAAAGAGTTATTCTCCTGATGTATTATATTGTTAAAGCAATCAAAATCCAAATATCAATCTCTTCTGTCATTATGGCAATGGCCTTCATCCATTCTCCACTTTGTTTGCTGTCCTTTCTGTTAGCTACCTTGCTTATAAAATGCCTGAAATTTTTTAAACGAAATATAGTCCATTCTTAGTCTAAATCTGTTTGTCCTATAGATAAAATTATAAATATCATCAAGAGTGAGAATTAAGTTGGAGATTCATTTTTACATTCTTTTGATTTTTAACGTGTACATCAAGTGATTAAGCATTTATGATTAACTAGAGTAGCTTATAATATTTTACTGTTTTTGTGGCTGAAGCTAAAATGACTTCTGGAAGCTAATTGAGCTATACATACCAATGCTTCCTATGACCTGCTTAGTGGTTCCTTATGATTATTGTGATTCATCTATCCTGTGAAAAATCCCAGCATAATGTATGAAGTATCATCAATGAATCTAAATGAAATCAAGCATAAAAAACCTATTAGCACTTAATTTTTCTCTCTAATTTGTCTTTGAATACCATGTATGGTGGATCTTACATGTCATGAGTTTTCAGCGTTTCGCTGCAGTGATTATGAGGATTAGAGAACCAAAAACAACAGCCCTAATATTTGCTTCTGGAAAGATGGTGAGTGCTTAATCTTCTCATATCTTAGGCAAGTTTTTAATTTGTGCCATTTTTCACTCTGTGATGTTAATGATTTCCTCACAAAAAATTACATTGCTTTAGGTTTGTACTGGAGCCAAGAGTGAACAACACTCAAAATTGGCTGCACGGAAGGTATGACATATAAGAGAAGGCACACTTTCTCAATGAGATATATTCAATGAATTTTTTCCTCGGCAATTCTCTCTCAAGTTTTCATGTTATTTGCAGTATGCTAGAATTATTCAAAAGCTCGGTTTCCAAGCAAAATTTAAGGTATTTATCCCCATATTTCGCCCAGTGACAGGCAGAATACACAAATTGGAGTTTATTGCTCACATTTTTTTTATTTTTATTTTTTTTAAATCTTTCATTCTGGTTCTAGGATTTCAAGATTCAGAACATAGTTGGTTCCTGTGATGTTAAATTTCCTATTCGACTTGAAGGCCTCGCATATGCTCATGGTGCCTTTTCAAGTGTGAGTTCGTTGTTATTTACCCATCTCTCTTGCTTATGTTGTATGTTGGGATAATAAAATTGTGAGGATCAATCTCCTTTATGTCTATCCTAAAGTATTCTGGTCAAAATTACTATAGTTTAAATTATTTTTGGCTTTGCAGTAATGGCCATGAATATTCTTCTTTTATTTATAATGAAGCATGATGTGTCTGAATTCAGAGTTTAGTATCTTGCCTTCCATGATAATTATGTTTGGAAGCCTTCCTGGGATTGCACAAATTCCACTTTTGGTAAATCAAACAATTGATGTCTTTATTAAAACATAATATTGGCATTTCATACAATTTTTAGAAATATCTGAATCTTGAATATACCATTTAAGTTCTCCTTATTTTTTGTTTCATTCATTGTCCTGGGATTTGGGGACAATAAGCCTATGTTTGGTTCAGATAAAAACCATAGTTTTAGTAGATTTTGATAAAAGTTTATAGAATGTGTGATTATAAAGTTGAGGGTCCCATGAAATGTGTGGCTAAAATTAATTGTTAACTTTGATTTGAATTTTAATCTACTTTTTTAGTGGAACCAAACACGGGCTAAATTGGTAAATGAAGTTCTATGATACAAAATTACTGATGGTAAATACGAAGATAGAGAATCAGTAGATGATGAGTTTCTTTACACTATCTATCTGTTGTAGATTGAAAAATTGGATTTAACTTTCTAAAAGCAAAAGCTGGTCTATTTTTTTGAGTTATTTTTTGAGTAGTAGTGGCCAGAATATTGTACCCTTATTGTAATCATGGTGTCATTGTCCAGTACGAACCTGAATTGTTCCCTGGATTAATCTATCGGATGAAACAACCAAAGATTGTGCTGCTTATTTTTGTCTCTGGAAAGATTGTTCTCACTGGAGCCAAGGTAATAGATACAGCTCGTCATTTTGTTGGTTTGGATCTATTCATTCTATTGCGCTACTTTGTCCATTTCAGATGATATAATGTCCCTCGATTTTAATTTTTCAGATCAGAGATGAGACATATGCTGCCTTTGAGAACATATACCCCGTTCTCACTGAGTTTCAGAAGGTTCAGCAATGGTATATAATTTGACGGTTTCACGTATAATTTGTATCTGGTAAAATGTATCATCAGATACATGCATTACTTGATGAGCAGATTTGCCAGGTGCCAGAAAGATGGGAAAGAAAGTAGGAGCCTAATATACATGCTGGAATTTATGATGAATTAGTTTTTAATAACTTGGAAAAAAAACTTATGATATATGATATATCCTATATCCAGATAGTAGATTGTTTGCGATCGAGAAGGGGTGCATGGTTGCCCGAAGGATTATCAGTATAGTCAGGAGGAATGAGTATTGTTCTTTTGTTGTTAGCACTTAGATGGAGCCCTGGTTTGACTATTAAAAGAATATCCTTGTCGCATATTTGTAACTAGTAAATTCTGTTCATACTGCAGTGGATTGTTTGTGAGAGAGAAGGGGTGTGTGGTTGCTTGAAGGATTATCGGTATAGTCTGGAAAAACGAGTGGTGTAATTTTGTTGTTAGCACTTAGATGGAGTCCCAATTTGACTATTGGAATTAACTGCAGAAATTGGTGCATTCCAACTTGTTTGTAGCCCTACTTGATGTTCTCTATTATTCTGATTTTAAAGGAGTCTGTTAACTTTTACTTCTAGTAACTTGTGTGATTTGACATGGTAAAATCTCAAGCACCTGATGAGTCTAAGATATGAATTAAGAGCGTTGGAATACAGCAGGGCATATTTTGACTTAGTTTCTTAAAGAAGGTTTACATTTTTCCATATTTAATACTTTTTCTTTCATATCGCAGATCTATGAAAAGATTAGCACCGTCTCTGAAGGATTCTTGAAGAGCACCGGCACTGCCTCTCGTTTAACTGTAGATATTTGTGGGATTAAACATCTATCCTCGTGGAAGCTTACATAAGATATGACAATGATAATATGGTTGAAGGGTTCTCTTTTCTCCCCCTACCTTTGCATTGATGTGTTTGGGGGGGGGGGGGGGTGTTGAGGCAAAAATTCGGTTAGAAAAGTCAATAAATTTGAGTGGTATACTTAGCTTATTTTTGGTTAGAAAATTCAATAAATTTGAGTGGAATACGTCAGCTTGCGCAACCTAGATATTTTTGAACAAATACTGTTTTAATTACATTGGTTGATTGACCTAGTCATTTGATGAATATGAAAGTGGATGCAATCTGGAGTTCTGGTTGCTTAAGATTGCACATACTGAAACTCAAGAAGATAGCTGATATCAAAAAGAAAAGCATAGCTGCTGCTATTCTTAAAGTAAAAGAAAAGCATAGCTGCTTCTATTTTTTAAGTAAAAATACTGTAAAGAATCAAGTGATTGAATTAAAAGTTGGTTTACCTTTTATCTCCACAAAATATGAGCACATCAAGCTGAAGCACCTATTGTAAATAAAATTGTAATTTCATTAGTTTATCAGTTGAATACAATCGCAAAACGGCATACCCCGTTAAAAAGTCACATGGAATACAGAGGAAAAAGCTTCCAAAATCTTGTATAAGTTCTGGAGTCCCGGAGGATTTTGAGAACAATATTCTGCTTCACTAAGACTGGAATATTCGGATGTAAGAGCCTTAAGAACAGTGTCCCATCAGCATCGCACAGCAAGCTGAAGCATGTCTTGTGCATGTGCCATGGTCCAGACGGAGACACCCTGGCATAGCCACGATTGTCAACAAACGTTCATATGCCCTAGAATTTCTTATAAGACAGCAAAATCTACAGTTACCTTGTTTGGGAACCCAAGGACAGGCTGGTTTTCTAGCAATTGGTTGGATAGACACTTCATAAATGTGAATGGCTCCCAAGCCAAATACAACTTAGAACGTGGCATCTATAAATTTCAACTTCTACAATAATACATGGCTTCCTGAGATACAATTAGTTCGTTTTGTTGACATACAAGACAGCCTTTTAAAGTTATTCTTCAGAAAAGATTATCTCGCTATGTTCAATGAAATCTTCTGGCTTTTTGCTACGAGTGCAAAGGCCTTAACAAGCTCCTCCTTTATCATGAAAAGTACAGACGCCGCAAAGACACTCTGTACTATCTTTGTGCTCATCCCTTTGTAGAAACAGCCAAGCCCTTCATAGTGGATCATCTTAACGATGGCATCTAGTGTACCTGTGTTAAGAAAGAAATTAATCAAACCATCAGGAGATCTTAATGCTTCCAAAAAACTTAATACCTCCCTCCACTTCCTCTCAGACTTTGGTTGATATATAAAGATTTTGGAGAAACATAAGACATAAAAACTTGAGAGATTGCTGCCGATAAAGTCACATGGTGATGCATAGCAAGAATTTCACCAAACCGCAATGCAATAAAAAATGGTCTCTCGATTTATACAAACGTGGGAGTAAGGATAACCTAAGAGGATCCACCATGAGGAGGACAAAATTGAAAAAGATATCTCACGGAATAGAAAGGATGCAGAAGAACTTAAGAGCACATAACAATCTTTAGTGAAACCACTAGCAATATGAATGAGCCCTTTAAGGTTGAAAAGAGGCCGCTAATGCTAGAGTTGCAGCTACAGAATGCATTGCCATAGGAATGAAAGAGATGGAAGGATGTTTGGAAAGGAATTCTAAAATTTTTGGACATGAACACTCAGTGCGTTAAACCTTAATTTCTAATTTTCAAAATAGTTTTTAAGCACCTATTTGAGAGTTACAACTCTTCATATTTGAATTTGAAAGACATCTTTTCGGAAAAATATTAGAAACACAAATTTTAGATTTTATTTCGCAAACGGTCAGTTTTATTTCTATGTGAATTTCACTTGATTCAATATATGAAACAACTCAATTTTAGAGGTTGAAAGCTTCACGTCTGTAATAATTCAACTTCAGACGTCAAAACAATTTGTTGAACTTTAAAATATTTTTCTCCAGTTTCAACTAAAGAAGCTCTTTTGTGTTACTACAAAGAGAGGCATTCCAAGAGCTTGAATGAAAATGAAAATTTTTATTTATTTACATGTGAATGTATTGATTCCTATTATTGAGACCTAGGTTTTATCAGCATCATTGTTTCCTTTCAGGTATTTCTACACACTCCATAAATACCTTTGTATACCAATTTGACGTGCGATGCTATGGAACAATTAGAAGAAGGGGAAAGAGGAGAGGAAGAAAAATGAGGGAGATACAAGGAAGAGGTGGAAAAAGAATGAGAATTAGACGGACTGAAGGAGAGAAGAAAGAGAGAATTTACGGAAGAATCTCAATTTTATTCATATCAAAGTTGCGTGAATTATATCGCATAAACAAGGTAAGTGTAGTCGTACAAATTGTACTTTCAATATTTAAGTTGCGAAATTTCAAGTTATGAATATAATATTATGAAAATCGAAGTTATGATATGATAAGAGCCCTATATATGTAAGTTCAAAGAAGCAGAGTTTAGTAGTGCCATGCACGAGAATTATAGCCATGAAGTTTGATTTTTAATTCTTGTGTCTACATATGTATGTTATGATTTTCTGTATTTAAATATAAGATGCAATTTGTTGTTACTTAGTTATTGTCTCACTCATATATGTTAAAACTTCTGTAGGTAATTAAATTGGTGGTCAGAGGTGGACTGTGCTTGCATTGATGAAAAGGAAGAATAAATTAAGTAGCATAAGGATTTTAGTATTATTCATCTTATTTTTTTTAACTGATTTTAAATCTTTGCATTCTAAGAAAATATTATGTTTTTCTTTTGTTTATGAAAGTATTATTTACGGTACATGTTTAACCATCAAATAATGTATAAGGACTTGAGCTACACCACTGGTTTTGCTAATATATTGTCAACTCAACCAAAATGCTCAAGTTCATGTTGCAAGGTAGACCATTCATATGGTTTTGATATATCCGATGTGGAACACAATGACAAACTTTTCCAACCAAATATGCCAAATAGATTATGTTGAACAAGGAGTGTGAAATGGATTGGAAATAAACTAATATGTCTCTCTGTGGATAAGGTAATGGATCTCACCTTTGACATAGTTCCACAAAGTAGCTGTTATAAGAATTCAACTTGCCACTTTATTGCTTAGGAATTTACATTTTGTTAAGTCCAAATTGTAATTGGCAATTCCTAAATCAAAATCAAGTCCTAGATGAATTGTATTAGGTATTTATCGAGTTATAATCAAAGTTAAAATAGTTAAGAATTGATATTATAGGTTTCACGGGGTGTCTTTCTTCTTGGCACAGAAAGGGACACCGTGCGGCAGTAGTCTGCTCCGCTAGACTACCTTCCGCTTTTTCTCGGTCACGTCGAGACGAAAGAAAATTTGATTACAATTTTGTAGAAAGCTTACAATAGAGAATTTGAATACATTGAAAGTAAATTGAACATTGATTGATGAAAATTGAATATTACAATTGACGAAAGCAGAAAATTATAATTGCTGGTGCAGGGGGAGGACATCAGTGAGCTTGAAAGATTTTTGAATGACTAATACCCCCTATAATAGCATTCTGAACAAAAATCTAAGTGACAGGAGTAGACTTTCAAAAGACGAGGAATCATACTAAACGTTTATTAATATCAGAGTATTTTACAACTGAAATAACTATTACAATGAAAAAAAAAAATTACAGCTCAAACTTGAAGTAATATTTACAATGTGCGGCCGAAGTTGGGCAAACTGCGACTGTGATAGTGTTAAGGGGTTAAGTAAAGCTGCGGTCCTTGACATTTTCCCCCATTTGTTTTGGCGACGTCCTTGGTACCATCAATGCATGATATGCTTCAATTAATGGTTTGAAGACTCCGAGATCTTTTTCTCTTTCCCAAGTATTCTCTTCGCTGCTGCATCCAATCCATTTGACCAAGTACTCCTGATGATCTTTTCTAGAAGCTCAAGTGATTCGATGGTCAAGAATAGCTTCAGCAATTTTCTTTCCAGCTTTCTTCAGTTCAAACACAGGTCGCTTTAGCTCATTTCTAGACGTGTCCTCCTTATCCGCAAAGTATGACTTCAACACACTAACATGAAGGACCTTGTGGATTTCACACCATGAAGGGAGTTCAACTTTGTATGCAACTCTTCCAATCCTCTTCACGATAGGTAATGGTCCAATGTATTTTTGAGTCAATTTTGAGTCCTTCCCTCTTGTTGGTTTGTAAACATTTCTGTCGGAAAGCTTAACCATTACCAGATCTCCAATATTGAATTCAATGAAACGGCGATTTAGATCTGTAGCTTTTTATACCGTTTTTGAGCTTTCTCAAGATAACTCCGAGCAATTTCAATATTTCGTTTCCACTCTTGAGAAAAGTTCTTTGCTTGAGGGGACTTGGTACTTCGTTCGATATCCACTGTATGAGGGAGTAGCGGTTGCTGGCCAGTAACTATCTCAAAATGACTCTTATTGGTGGAAGAGCTCTTTTGGGTATTGAAGCAAATCTGAGCCACATCCAAAAGTTTTACCCAATTTTTCTGCGAAGTAGAGATAAAGTGCCGAAGATATTCTTCTAGCATAGAATTGAAGTGCTCCGTCTGTCCGTCAGATTGTGGGTGAAAACTAGAACTCGTGCTCAAAGTTGAACCAAGAAATTTGAACAACTCAGTCCAAAATATGCCAGTGAAACGAGGATCTCGATCACTGACGATGTCCTCAGGCAATCCCCAGTATTTGACAATATGTTTGAAGAAAAGTTGAGCTGTCTCTTCCGCGAATACATACTTAGGTGCTGCAATAAAAGTTGCATATTTTTATCGACGATCCACAAATACGATGATAGTGCCAAAATCCTAAACTTTTGACAACCTAATAATGTAGTCCATCAATACACTTTCGAATGGTCCGGTTGGGACGGAAAGGGGCTCCAGCAAGCCCGCCTTTTTCTGATGATCTGCCTTATCTTATTGACAAATAAGACAGGTTTTTACATAGGTTGCAATGTCGTCCTGCATTTGAGGCCAGTAGTATGTACGTTGCAGTAGTGCACAAGTGCATTCCTCTCCGGGATACCTTGCCCAAATCGTGTCGTAGCATTTTGTAATTAGTGATTTCCTCAAATTTCCGCCCTTAGGAACATATAGGCGGTCTCCCTTTGTCTTCACTAGTTCCCCATTGAGCCAGAACTGTCGAGTTTTATCCTATTTGATGAGGTCGACCAAATATTGAATAGCCGGGTCTCTCTCCATAAGTGCCCGAATTTGGTCTCGTGTTCGTGGAGACGGCGCTCCCTGAAAGAGCAGCTACGGAGCAAAGGCCGCCAAATTGGCCCGTCGACTAAGAGCATCAGCAACATAATTACTAGATCCAGAACGATATTCTAACATAAAATTGAACTCTAAAAGAAATTCCTGCCAACGAGCCTGCTTGCTCGATAGTTTTGGCTGGAACATGAAGTGACTAACTGCAGTGCTATCTGTCTTCACAATAAATGGAGACCCAAGCAAATAGTAACGCAATCCTCTGAGACAATGGACTACTGCCAACAATTCCTTTTCATGTGCTGAGTAACGACGTTCTATTTGGTTTAACTTTCGGCTCTCATATGCTACCGGATGTCCTTTTTGCATGAGGACTTCACCAAGTGCAAAATTTGAAGCATCCGTATGAATTTCAAATGGTTTAGTCATATCCGGTAAGGCTAAAATCGGGTTCGTCCACATGGACTTCTTCAACCTTTCAAAAGCAATTTGGCATTGGGATGACCAATCTCAATCCTTATCCTTCTTTGTCAATTCGGTAGATGGCAGTGCAATTTCTGAGTAGCCTTTCACAAATCTTCGATAGTAATTGCATAACCCAAGAAATAAACGTACATCATGTACGGTTTTTGGTGATTGTGAATTTTTTATGGCTGTAACCTTCTTCGAATCCATGCGGATTTTACCTTGTTCAATGATGTGACCTAAGAAACTGATAGATGTCTGAGCAAATGAGCATTTAGACGGCTTGACATAGAGTTCATTCTCTCATAGCCGCTGGACATGTTCCTCCAATGTCTCGCTGTGGATTACTATGTCTTCCAAGTACACCACGACAAAATCATCTAAGAACTTGTGAAGTACCTGATTCATCATCGTACAAAATGTTGCTGGAGCGTTTGTCAAATCAAAAGGCATCACTTTAAATTCAAAGGCTCCATATCTGGTTACCACCGTAGTCTCTGCTTCGTCTCCCTCCTTGATCCGAACTTGCCAGTATCCGGACCTAAGATCAATTTTTGTGTAATACTTTGCCCGACTCAGTCGATCAAAGCAATCCGCAACCAGTGGGATAGCATAGCTATTCTTTACAGTAATCTTGTTCAAAGCTCGATAGTCACAGCACATTCTAAGAGAACCATCGGCCTTTTTCTGAAACAATACAGGAGCTCCATATGGCGACTTCGCAGGCACAATGATTCCACTCTCCAACATTTTTCCTAATTGCTTCCTAAGCTCTTCAAGCTCAAGCTGAGACATACGATATGGTGCCCTAACGAGAGGTTTGGCGCTTGGAATAAGTTCAATCTCATTATCAATCGTCCTTCTTGGTGGTAATTTCTTTGGTAATTCGTCCGGCATGATGTCCTCAAATTCCTGAATAAGCCTTTTAACGGGTTTTGGAATAAAACCATTCGCCTCTTCGATCTCCTCTAATCGAAGAGTGCACAAAAAAGAAGGTTCATTTCTCTTAAAATCCTTACTAAATTGCATGGCTGAGATACTTCTTGCCCATCCTCCCAATCTGTGTAGGGATGACATACGACTTATTATCCATCATCATTAACGAATCGGAATATGGCAACACTGCTGTCTTAGTATCCCGAAAAAATTCCAATCCCAGAATTAGCTTGAAATCGTCCATCTGAACTGCAGATAAATTTGTCCTTCCCTCGAAAGGACCTGCTTTGATCAACACCGATTTCGCTACTCCATCTATTGGTTGAGCAGTGGAGTTGATTGCTTTGACTTTTCTACTACCCTTTTCCAGATCAAGTCTGAGCCGCTCTACTTCGGTACATGCAAGGTAGTTGTGGGTAGCGTCAGTATCCACCATAGCCCTGATTGGCTTCTCGTTGATTTTTACATCAATGTACATTAAGCCTTTGGCCCTACAAATTCGAGCATTCGCTTCTTCCATCTTTGCCTCTTTCAATGGGACATCACCATTTTCAGCACCCGATGCGACAGTGTGTTGCACCGATGTGAAAATACCCCAACTACGTCCCCATCCTCTTCAAAGTCGGTCTCACTATGACAATTAGCTTGCGGGGCCTCTTGCTTTGAACTTGACCCGCCACTTGCTAGTTGACAATATGCATTTATCATCCGCTTCTGAGGACATTCCGACACCCGATGAGGTCCTTCGCATAAAAAGCACTTCAATTTGGGAGTGGCATCAGTTCGGCCCTCCATTGCTTTTCCTTTGTTCCAGTTGTTATTGTTGCTACCGTTAAAATTTCCTTGACGGCTATTATGATAGTTTCCCTAAAAGCCACGGGTGCTTTGATAGGCTCCTTCTTTATTGTGAGAGTAACGCTCTCCCCCATTTGGATTCAAGCTGGGTTTGTAAGGTCTGTTACCACCTCCAATTGCTTGATTACTCCCCAAAGGTCGATCTTTTGTAGATTCCGTTTGGTAGTCGCTCAAGCATTCGACGGCTCCCATGGCAGTGCTCAAATCAGTAACTTTCTGTTTTTGAAGTTCCGTGCGTGTCCACGGTTTCAACCCTTCAATAAAGGTGACAAGCTTATCATTTTCCGACATATCTCGAATATTCAGCATATGCCCCGAAAAGGATTTCACATACTCCCTGAACTTGTGTGTTTCAGGTCTCGAAGTGTCCGTCGAGCCTGATACTCGACATTTTTCGGAAAAAATTACGATATGATCGCTTCCTTGAGGAGACTCCAAGAATCTATTCGGACCTTATTGGCCTGAATGTCAGCATATTTGGTTCGCCACCATAGTTTTGCATTTTCACTCAGATACATGGTAGTTGTGGTTACCTTTCTAGCTTCATCTTCGATCGAAATTGCGAGAAAGTACTGTTCCATGTCAAACAAGAAGTTTTCGACTTTTTTTGCATCATGTGCCCCTCCGTAGGTACACAGTTCAGGAATTCTGAGTCTAGGAGCATACTCAGGTACGGGAGCTTGCCAATTGCCCACCACACGTTGGAGTACCCGCAATTGAGCTCTCAACGATTCCATTTCATCCTGTAGATTAGGAATGATTGCAGCAACTTCAGTCATTACTGCGCAAGCCCTTTGGCTTTCATCCAATTGGATGTGTAATCTATCAATCTCGGATTCGGCCATCTCGACTTTTTCCTCGAGACCGTCCAAGGCATAGCACAACCTAGTAGTTATCTCATCAAGCGCATCCACGCGCTGTTTCGTAGTACTCTTCTTTTGAGGCTCTTCCACTTCAGTGGTATGGGATGTAATTGGATCCATAGCTTTCTTATCGAGGGTCGTGAGCCGCAGCTCTAATACCAACTTTCACGGGGTGCCTTTCTTCTTAGCACAGAAAGGGACACCGTGCGGCAGTAGTATGCTCCGCTAGACTACCTTCCGCCTTTTCTCGATCGCGTCGGAACAAAAGAAAATTTGATTACAATTTTGTAGAAAGCTTACAATAGAGAATTTGAATACATTGAAAGTAAATCGAACATTGATTGATGAAAACTGAACATTACAATTGACGAAAACAGAAAATTACAATTACTGGTGTAGGGGGCAGACACCAGTGAGCTTCAAAGATTTTTGAATGACTAATACCCTCTATAATAACATTCTGAACAAAAACCTAAGTGATAGGAGTAGACATTTAAAAGACGAGGAATCATACTAAACGTTTACTAATATCAGAACTATTTTACGACTGAAATAACTATTACAATGAAAAGAAAATTACAACTCAAGCTTGAAGTAATATTTACAATATGCGGCGGAAGTTGGGCAAACTGCGGCTGCGATAGTGTCAAGGGGCTAAGTAAAGCTGCGGTCCTTGACATTAGGTCTTAAAAGAGTCTAAGATGTCAAAGATGTCCAAAAAGATCAAATATGATCAAGAGAATGCAATTAGAAGTCTAAAGGGTATTAAAGAGCCGCACAAGTTACACTTCAAATTCGTAGTCACAACTTGCAAAGCATTTTTCACATAGAAGACTTTCGAATTTGGAGAATTCTAATGCAAAAGAATTGTAGCCTTTTGAGTTAGCTTTTCAACGTAATTTGAATTACCTTAATCTGATATCAGGAGAGAAAGTTATGAAGAAAATACTGACGACTACTCAATTGTTGCTCGCCTATCGCTAGCCTAGCGTTCGAGCGACAAGTCGACGTTTAGAATTCTGTTTTGTTTCAAACACTTGGTTTTTCAATCCCTTTTCTTGCGAAACACTTCCCCTATATATATCCTACCTTATGAACGTCCAAAAGTGTGTTGAATCAAATTTATTCCATATATATCAATTTATTGATGATCCAAAACATTCGTTGATTCCAAGATTCAACCACCACATATTACTTGATTCATAAATTCTTCCAAAACATATTTTGTTGATTAGGCCATATTCTTTCATATTAAACTACAAGATCAAAACATAGAAAGTCATTTGATCAAACATCAAATCACATAATCCACTGAAGATAAATCAATGCTAAGGATCAGGAGTTGTAGTAGAAGCACAAATTCAGGAGGACTAAGGTGAGGTACTAAGAGTTAGGATCTGGCATCAGAAGCACACAGTCCATGAGGGCTAAAGTATAAACCAACAGGATCAAGGGAGACTGCAACAATTGAGGTCAGAAGTTCTATGGGGTAGACGACTCTGGTCTGTACTATAAGTTTGCTTCGATTTATAGTGGCTTACTGACTAGCAAAGTGCTCGGAGTTTTTATCTGGTTGGAATTTCTCCATAATCATCTTTGGTGTTTTTTACTGCTTTAATTATTGATTATGGTATTCAAACCATAAGATTGACTAATCACCTCGAAACAATTGGAAGTGACTTGTTGCTTTTTAATTGCTTATTTCCGCACGTTTGGGTCTAAATAAATAAATAAATATTCGGCTAATTAGAACTTTCACATTTCACTAGTCAAATACTGCTAAAATCATGGAGACTTTTCTCAACACACAGTTGAAAAACAAACTAAAGTTCATCTTCAAAGGAAAGCATATCAAACAAACAGTTATAAACTTGATTATAAACTACAATTATTATGAAAAAATGCCAAGGACTATCTAATAGCAAACATCCACGATAGGACTGATAATATAGCCAAACTCTTTATGTACCTGAATATCTTAGCAGGGTATTTCCTCCAATCTCTTGCTTTGCTTGAAGCCTTGACTGCACAATATTCACAATATATTTACAAGAAGAAAAAGATTTTGTTGTAAGACAAGCAAGTATACTGTATCAAGAAATGTCATAAAATACTTGCCGAATTTTTTTTAAACCCAATTCGTCAACACCAAGTCGAATTTATGCATGAAACACCTGTATCTAGTACCATTCAATTTCGTAGAACTTTATCAGTTTAGATTGCTAATAGTATTACCCGTGAACTTGATATTGATACATTATGCTTCATTGGAACAACAATTGATACTAGATTTATATTTAGTTTGATGTGGCAGATAATATAAGAATTTTGGCACAATTATATTCAAAATAATCAAATATATTTTGAAAAGTGATAAAATTTACTTATTATCCTACATAAAACGGAAAGGACTTGCTTGTCAACAGCAAAACTAAAAAATGCCCCCGCAAGATGGTGGCTTATTTGAGTAGACCAATTTTAAAATTCGTATGCTCATTTTTTAGTCTTTCTTGGATCAAATTGCTCGTTGGAGCTTAGTGAGCTCCTATACCATGTTAAGATTTGGAGTTCCATATTAAAAAGTCAACTTTATTAAGAGAAGTAGCCCAATCTTTTATAAGTTGATCTATATTTTCATTTTTATCCGATGTGGGATTTTATCTCTTAACAAAAACAAACATCTACAACTTCCACATGCAGCAAATTTAAGCATATAAAAAATTGTATATTTAAGTAGTTGTATTTAAGTAGTTAGAATTGAATCATCTTTGTATTTGGTACACAAGCGTTATAAATTCTTGTAATAAAAATTATGTAATAAACTAAGGCTAATACTGGAATGGCTTGCTTTGATATTGATTTTTTATAATGATTGATGTTATAAAAAGTGTATAATACCTCTATATTTATATGTAAGATTATTCCCTATTTCTAATAGTATTAGGAAATTGAAATTATATCCTAAATAAAAGATAAAGTTCTATCACAACAATACAAGAAAACTAAACAGATAAATATAATCGAAAAGATAAACTCCTAGAAAAGATAAAACATAATTGTAATAGGAAACTATTAATTGTAGTTGTGATGTACTACATCAGTTTTGCATGATATTTTGCTAGAAAGGAGTGTGTCAAATCATATTTGATGGTAATTAAACTACCATTGTTTATTTGAATGTCCTTTCCAAGATAACATTCTAGCAGTATCATGAGAATACTATAGTGGGTTGTATATGAGGAGATTGGTTCCAGTGGCGCCACTGTATTAGAGGTAATTCTGTGGTGTATTATATCTGTACAGAAAGAAATCATATGGTTTCAGCAATAATCTAAAGGAAGAAAATTTTTTCCAACAAGCAATAGAAGCTGCAAGCATTGCAGCATCAAATGGGAGAAGAATTCCTAGATTTAAACTGAATTTGGGAACCTTTCTGGGGATGCCCTTGTTGATGGCATGTTCTTTCTGATCAATAGGCTTATCATTAATGTTACCATTGCTAAGTTAAGGTGTTACAGTTGGACTACAGGAAGTGATTTGTACCTCAAGGTTCCTGGTTCTACATTTCGATGGTACAATCTTGTGGTATGGACACGTATTCCGCCCATTAATTTTGGCAAAAAACACATGCTAGAACTGGAATTGATTCAAGAAACCATAAAATTCTGTGTGACACTAGACAAACCAAATGTATTTACCTTAACAACCAACAAGGGGTATGTAGACACAGTAGCTCCAAGTTTTGCCAAGGCCCCCAGTAAAAAAATCTGTGCAAGTAAATGTAATGAGTTCTAGAGTTGAAACTAGCATGTTCTTATAAGGACACAGATATCACAACCATTACATTAGACAAGTAAATGCAACTTTCTTGGTAAAGAAAAAACCCCAAAGCTAGTATTGCAGAAAATGATAAAAATTTTGAGATAATTACTAAAATAAGAACTTGAATTTCATACACATTTTCTAGCCAGGTTACCTGGACTTCCAAAAATTTCTGCACCTTGAGAACTCCGTATGAGAAAAATGATGAATCCAACCTAATAATTAAGAAGATAGGTAACATCTCAGTAGTAATACCTCCAAAGCAGTTATATCCTTTAGATGCTGCTTCCAAGTAGCTCTCTTAGCCCTCAGATACTTCAATGAAGTCTCATAGATCATGAACTGTATTGATGGGTTGCAGACCTGGCATGTCAAATACTACATAAAATTAAAAGAATATCAACTGAAATTTAAAGTTAATTTTTGAAAAAAAAAAATAAAAATGAAAAGCTTACCATGATTAGGGTTGGAATAATGCCTTTCCAGAATCCAGTTATTCCTGATTCATTATAAACTTCGCATGCCTACTAATGACATGCAAATATAGGTAAAATTGTTGATAAAAGGAAATGGAATTTTTTATTGACACAACAGAGATAATATCAACTGATGAATTTCAAAGCTATACGATTAATTAATTCTTCTTGGACTAAATGCCAATATTGTTCTGATGAAAACACATCATAATGAGTAAGTTTTTGCCAATAGATTTAGACACTAAGCATGTTTATGTTATTGTATTCAACATGTTAAAAAGTAAATTTTGTTATATTCTGAGAGCAACAAAAGGAATCAATCGTTCTAGAATATTTTTCACATTCAGCACTGCAAGATTAGTGTTATTCCTCTGACAAACCTAGTGTGATCTTCAATATATGGTTCAATAACTTGAAAAGCATCAATGAAGTCTCATTCATAATGATTTGTGTTTGCTTTGCAGTTAAACCTGATCTATTCATCTTTTGAATGTGGCAAAATGTGTTCCACCTAGTCCATATTGATAATCTATTACAAATTCAAATGCTCTAGGCAGCCGGCTTTGTGATTTAAGGTTTGATTTTTGTAGGTTGATCGAAATTAGCTGAAGAAATAGGTTCAACTGATGGTGAAACCCATCCTGATCCACCACTTACATGTGAAAAACATCACGCAACATGTGAAATACTTCATTCATGAAATTATAAGCAATTTGATTGCAGAAACCATGGCGGATATAATCCAAAAACATGATTAAACGGGGCACAGAAAAATACAGATGTTCACCTAGAAGTAAAAATGAAATAATGGTAGAGGACAAAAAAAGCACGAATATGAAATCTCTGAAGGTGAAGAAAAGAGAAGACCAAATAATATTCACCGCTTGAAACGTCCCATATGGTTGAGGCTTTATTGAATCTAGTGCAGCCAAGTGGCCTTGCAAAGAAGAATATGTCAGAACATTTTCTGAAGCTTCCTTTAATAGAGCTTCCCTTTTTGCCTCCACAATTTTTCGTTCCGCTTGAGTTTGTGTCTGGAAGTGAAAAATGTAAAATGTCACACATCATATGCTTATGGCTTTTTTCTTTTTATAACTGCACAGATTATCCAAGCAACTAAAATTAAAATAAAATTATTTATTCTAGTATACATGTATTCCACTCTACATAAGCCACATATACAAGAAACCTGCTGGACAATATTAGGTTCATCCCTACTCCATTATACAACCCTTTGGCCAATAAATGAAATTTAAAACCTGTAAAACCCAGCAGCATAGAAATTCTAGCAAGGACCCTGAGCACAAATTTTCAGAATTCTGATTTATGAAGCAATAATACTAAAGTATAGTTGTGCAGTTGATCTGAAATCTTGAAAAACACCAATAGATGAAAGACTTGGGAGCTTTCTTTGTTTCATTGTGTATGATACAACCTAAATTACATTATTTTATAGTACACAAACAGTATAAAAAAGGAAAAAACAATAATCTAAATTTGCTAACCAATCTCCTACAATCACTCCTAATTACAAGTTGCCTATATAGGCACGGTTACTTAAGGAATATAGAATATTTCCATATTCTCAAGATTTCAACATTCCCCCTCAAGTTGGATTGTAGATAGTGAAATCATCAAATTTTTGTTGAGCTAGTCCTTTGGTTAAGATGTCTACAATTTGTTCCTGTGTAGGAACACGTCATGCAAATAGTCCCTTCTTCCACCTTTTCTTTGATGAAATGTTTGTCCACCTTTGTATGTTTAGTTCAATCATGTTGTACAGGGTTAAGAGAAATATTGATAGCAACTTTGTTATCACAATATAATTTAGTTGGAGATTTCATTGTTACATGCAACTCTTCTAAGAGTTTCTTTGACCACAATCCCTTACAAATGCCTTGTGCTACTACTCTAAACTCAGTTTCGGCACTACTTCTGGCTACTACAATTTGCCTCTTGCTTCTTCATGTTACCAGATTTCCTCATACAAAAGTGCAATATCCAATAGTTGACCTTTTATTTTCCGTGGAACTTGCCGAATCTGCATCTGTGAAAACTTCTACACCTTTTCTTTCACCTTACTTGAAGAATAGCCCTCTTCCGAGGATCCCTTCAGATATCTGAGTATTTTGTAGACTACTTCAAGGTGGATTTCCTTTGGAGAGTGTATATGTTGACTTACCATACTAACTGCAAATGTGATGTCTGGCCAGTATGTGACAAATAGATGAGTTTACCTACTAGTCATTGGTATTTGTCTGTGTCCACGGAATTGACAGCATTTTCAATTTTCTTACCTACTTCAATTGGTGTATCACTTGGTTTATGTTAGGCCTCCAATCCAATATATTTATTCTAGAAGAATCAAGAAACGTGGAGAGGAAGGAGCAGCAACAAATTCTGTTGTAGTGGCAGGCTGAGGTGGACAATTAGCTACACATAGGCTATAAATAAGTGACTACCGCTAGCATTAGAGGTAGATTTTTCTAATGAGTAGTATGGAAGTGTAGAGTCCTAGCCCTCTCAAAAGGCTATCTGTTATGCTGCTCTTCTATTATTAATATTCTGGAGCCTCTTCACAACTTGATCCCTAACATATTGGCATCAGAGCAGTTCCTTCCTAATGGCACAAAAGAAGACAGAAGGTAGAGTAGAACTCATGGAGAAAGAGATGGAGGAATTAAAGGCAGGAACACAAAGGTTGCCAGGCTTAGAAACGTCGGTTGAACACCTCACTCAAAGTATGGCGAAAATGATGCAGTTCATGGACGAAACACAGAAGATATTGACAGCCCTCATCCTGCCAAAATTGGCAAGGAACAAGGAAATGGATGGGGAAGGGTCAGGAAGCATGACAGAGGTGCAGATTACAACCAACACTCAAACAGGAAAATATTTTGAGGTGAATGAGTTAACAAAAAAAGAGAAACTAGGGGCAGTGGAAGTAAGCCTTGACGGGGATGCTCTGTCCTGGCTACGGTGGATGGAAGCTCGCACACCTTTTCGGAGCTGGAACCAATTTCGAACTCTCCTTCTTCTCCGATTCCAGCCTACCCAAGAAGGGAGCCTTTGAGAAAAATTTCTGGCCATATGGCAGACAGGGACAGTAGATGAGTTCAGGCGAAATTATGAAGCTCTGGTTGCACCGTTAAGTGGGCTACTAGAAGATGTGTTGGAAGGGGTTTTCATAAATGGACTCAAGCCAGAGATTAAGGCTGAAACCAGGCTACTTAAGCCTAGTGGGCTGGGCCAAATAATGGATGTGGCCCAGTGAGTAAAAGAGAGGAACAGTCTTTTAAAACATTTCAAGGATCCTGTTGGCCTAAAAATCTTCAAGTCGGGACTGAATCGATGGGAGATGAGGGCGACAGACCCATTTCCAACATGCACCTTCACCGTCAACGAGAAATCATCAGTGAACTGCCAATAAAAAAAGATTTTCGATGCGGAGGGTCAAATGAGGAGGGAGAAAGGGTTATGTTTCAAATGTGACGAGAAGTTCATGGTGGGTCACGTCCTTCATGTTCCTAATCTGCCTTGTAACTTATTATCCGTAAGTCAATAACCAAGAACTCGAATTGCTCTGCTAAATTCCATCCTTCACATTCTGTTTTTTAGGACCTCTCATCGGGGAAGACGATTGGCAGTACTAAGGAGTGTGAGGGACTCTACTACTTTGATGAGGTTGATATGAGTAAGCAACATCAAATTGCTATTTGTGATTCTGCATCTATTTCTAATGATAGTGAAGCCATGTTATGGCATTTTAGAATGTGACACCCCAATTTTCAATATTTGAAACCTGTATTTCCCAATATTTTCTCGAATAAAAAACTTGTCAATCTTCAATGCGAAATCTGTGAACTTGCTAAGCATCAACGAACATCATTCCCAAAATCCACATATAAACCATCGAAACCATTCATTTTGATCCACAGTGATGTATAGGGTCCCTCTCGCGTTCCCAATCGTACTTACACGAAATGGTTTGTCACATTTATTGATGATCATACTCGTATTTGCTGGGTGAAAGATCAGAGGTTTCAAATAGTGTTTATCAATTTCCACTCCATGATACAAACCCAATTTCAAGCACATATTCAAATTCTGGGCACTGACAATGGTACATAATACTTTAACAAAAATTTGGGGGATTTTTTTCAAACAAATGGGATAATCCACCAAAGCTCTTGTGTTAAACTCCTCAACGAAACGGGATTGCTGAACGAAAAATTAGACACATTCTAGAGGTCGCTCGAGCCTTAATGTTTATGGCAAACATGCCAAAAGGATTATGGGAAGATGCTATCTTAACTTCTGCCTACCTAATCAATCGAATGCCCAGCCGTGACTTGAACTTCGAATCACCCATTGACAAATTCCACAAATTCTTTCCGAACTCTCGTCTCAGCTCAAACCTATCCCTCAGGGTGTTTGGTTGTACCGCCTCTGTCCATCTTCACAACAAAAGTAAATTAGATCCACGAGCAGTTAAATGTGTTCTTCTCAGATATTCTACTACTCAAAAAGGATACAAATGTTATGACCCTTCCACGAAGAAAGTCATTGTCAGCCTTTAAGTCACATTTTTTGAAAATACCTCATATTTCTTTTAAATGAGGGATTTTAAACAAGTTTCATGGGATTTTTCTCTTAGATTCTCAGTGGAGGGTTGTGAATGCCATAATGAGTCACAAAACACTCTCAAGTTGAGAATTAAGCACCATTAGGGAAAAAGAAACTCTAAAAAGTAGTTGTTTAGCAGACCCAACAACTCAAAATTCACAAATGTACTAGGTAGAGATCTTCTATGCATATCATGCCTTACACCAAAAGGATGATAGATAGAACATCCAGAATAGCCCATGACAATTATTTCTTCTAGTATCAAAAAGTAAATATATAATTGACAAGCAATATGATTCTCAGTGAAGAACATAATAACGGACCGTTTTCTTTACTGATACGATATAATTAAATTTTTTTAAATTATTGCATGAAAACTTATTGACCTATACAATATAGAAATAAATTTCTTAGGAAGTTTCTTTAACAAAGTATAGTGCCAAATACAACCTGCATACGAGTCACAAGAACCCATATCGGGTTTGTCAGCAGTACATTTAGTGACCTGCAATATACATACTTGGAGTCAGATATTAGACCAGGAACAGTCATCCTGCCTGACTGAGAGCATGGCTTGGTTTTTGAGCTCTATGCAGTAAAAGAACAAATAAAATGTAAAAATATCAATAAATAGTGGATGGAGACGATGGAAACTACCCAGCAAGAGCTGCCACAAGAAGCCAAGAAAGCATTCCTGGAGAACCATCCCCACGTCCTTTTTTTCTATTTGCAGCTGCAATAGCCTCTGCTTTGTTTTTGAATGCCTGGTAAAAATAATAGTAGATACCCTGGCAGTATCATGAAAGAAATTATGAGACAGGCTTGACAATGTTCTATAGTGATTGTTTGCAGCACCACATTTGCTAGTGCTTATAGAAGAACAGAATCTACCAGAAACATTTCTACATGGAAACCAATGTTGTGTCAGGTCTTGTGATAAGCATTCTAATAGCAACAATTTGACTTCTTCAAAGTTCTACAGCAATTCCTATCGAGCTCTAAATGACATGGCCTATAGATTGTGGGAGGCCTAATTAAAGACACACTAGAACATGCAAAAAATTGAATTACTCAATCAAACAAGGGAAAAAGAAGAACAAGATCCCACCTGTGAAGCAGCAGTCCCAAGTAGAGAAGGTTTGAGGCCGCTGTAAAGTCCTCCCAAGCCCTCGTTTCTGATAACCTTTCAACTTAAACTAGTTCAAGGAACCAGCAGAAAATTTGATCCACACATAGAAGCAAATGATCAATGAAAGTACCTGGAAAATTTGAACAAGTGTACCGCTGGGAGGGCTGGTGGCAGGAGTCAAAGTGGAATCTTTCTTAGCAACTCTTTCTGTTTGCTGGCGAGTATTAACCTGCAAGTGTGTGCAAAGCTCCTTGATGTATTAAAATTATGGTGGCTAAGTAATTACCCAGTGTTAATCCCATTAACGACCTCCATCAAATTCTAAAATACTTGAGTGATCTTAAGACCAAATAAAAAAGGAAACTACTGTACTACAGGCTGATCCAAAAAATATAGAACATATTAAATTACTGAAGTATATGCCCACAAAACAACCAAATTATCACATGAGCAAAGCTACATAAAACGTGCGATGGGAGAGCCAAAATTACCGTCTGGAGCGGGAAAGTAATTATTTGGGCTACGATACCTCCGCCGGCTCCAGCCAGCCCATTTACTACGGCGTTTGACATACCTGAAACCACGCGCTGCAACAGTTCTTTACTTTTTAAGTGGTATTGTGTTTAGGTAAAGAAATACTCAAAAAGTATCTTATCGTTTGCAAAACGTTTTAGTATTCCTATAAAATTCCTTTTATTCTATAGCACCCAGTTGCAAAATGCCACGTCAACTGCCCATCCCTCCCTTGAATACTTACCAATAGATAAATGCCGTACTCTATATTTTTCATCTATGGGTTAAAGCAAACAAAACCCTCGAAGGACTCGAAGTAAAACCCCCGTTTTCAAATTTCAACTTGTCGGAATTCAAAGTTGAACGATGGAAATTACTTCAGAAAGAGAGCATCTAAATAACTTCATTGTTGGGTCTGTGCCAACCGTTTTTTACATTCCCGACTACATCACTGCTGCTGAAGAAGACCAGCTCTTGAATAATGTAAAAAGACTGGGATTTATGATTTTTTTCTTTTCTCTCTCAGGGTTGGAATTTTCTGGCTACCCATTTTTATTTACTTGCAGATTTATCAAGCTCCGGTTTCCAAGTGGAAATCTTTGAAGAATCGAAGGCTGCAAAATTGGGGTATGCCAGTTATGTGTTTATTTTGGGTTTAGTTATTCTACACATAGATACTAACACATTCGATGCAGTCTTTTGTATTTAAAAGTTGTATATCTTGACTTTGACATGGCAGGAGGTACCGTGCACGAAAAGGGTCTTCTAGCTCAAGATTGTAAGTTGCAAAATTAAAACTTTTTTTGTGGCTTACTTTTACTGTTGATGTGCACCTTGGGAATGTTATGCTATCAGATGCCCACTGACTCAAGAGAAAATTAATCTTACTTTGTTTTATCATCTCGAAAGAATACTACATGTATGGCAAAAATAAGATTCAAAACAAGACAACGAAGTTCCTCTGTACGATTGTTTCATTAACTCGTGTAATATCCTTCTTTAGAAAGTCAGCTATCCTTTTGGGAACTTCAGAAGATCTCTTTTCATTTTAACTCCTCTCAGATATTTGTAAGTTGTATTCAAACTTTCCATGTTTATCGAATCATATATTGGTCCGTCAATAGGTACTCTCAGATATTTGTGTGGATGCTTTTTCATGTAAGAAGTATGTACAACATTAATAACAATAATCCAAAGTTGGCCTTCTGTTTGTGATTGAGCCAGCTATGTTTACAACATAATAAGCTTCCACAATTAAATGATTATTCTTAGAGAACGACAAGATTTACATGGGAGCTTTTGAGTATTTCAAAATGTTGACCCTCCACATGCTAAATCTTTTGTGACTAACCCATGTCAAATATACTCAATAAGACCCAATGCCTCTTAATGTGAGATGTTCTCTTATTATATAGAACCAAAATCGAAACTAAATATGGTCGTTATGTGTGACAATATTGTGGAACGGTTAAGATGGTTAAAGCAAACCGTTTGAAATCTAGATGCGGAACAACGAGAGACCAAGAACAACAAATAGTATAGAAACAACCAAGAACTACTCCAAAGGCATTCCAGAGAGCTCATACCAAAGAAGAATTTTCAAAGAAAATCACAAAGTGTGCTGATACAACTAGATGGCAAGCTAAACATGCAAAAAAATAGCTCGTTTGATGAGAAGTTTGGATCCAAGATATAACGATTGAAAAAGTCTCTCTATGGACTAAAATAGTCACTGAGAGCTTGGTTTAACAAGTTCACTAAATTTGTAAAGAGACAAGGCTATATCAGGGACAATCCGATCACATAATGTTCACTAAACATTCCAAAGAATGAAAAATAGCTGTCTTAATTGTGTACGTGGATGATATCATATTAACAGGAAATGATGTGATTGAGATGGACCTGTTAAAAAGAAATCTCTCAACAAAATTTGAGATCAAGGACTTAGGCCCTCTACCATACTTTCTCGGGATGGAAATTGCTTGCTCAAGAAAGGAAATTGTTGTCTCACAAAGAAAAGACATTCTTGATCTCCTTAAAGAGACAAGAATGACTGGATGTCGACCAAATGATACTCCAATGGATCCTGATCAGAAATTGGGAAATAGCAAAGAAGGAAAACTCGCTGAGACATCTTGGTACCAAAGATTAGTAAGGAAACTAATTTACTTATCAAACACCCAGCCTTACATTGCATTTGCTATGAGTATAGTAAGTCAGTTTATGCATTCCCTTTATGAAAGACATCTTGAGGCTGTATGAAAAGCACACCAGGAAAGGGCATTTTTTGGAAGAATGAGCATTGGAACGTTGAAGCGTATATTGACGCAGATTGGGCAGGTTCAGTAATGATAGACGATCTACCTCCAGTTATTGTACATATGTATGGGGTAATATTGTTACTTGAAAAAACAAAAAACAGCATGTAGTAGCTCGAAGCAGTACAGAAGCTGAGTATCTTGCAATGGCACAAGGAATGTGTGAAGTGTTATGGCTAAAGCGAGTACTAGCAGAACTTAGTAGATATGCCTCTGAAATTATATTGTGACAACAATGTTGCAATCAACATCGCCAACAATCCAATGCAGCACAATCGGACAAAACATGTGGAAGTTGATAGGCATTCTGTTAAAGAAAAGATTGAAGCTAAGGAAATCTACAGGCCATTTGTTCCAACTGCCCAACAAATAGCAGATATCCTTACAAAAGGATTGTTCAAACCTAACTTTGAGCTTCTAATTGGCAAGTTGGGCATGATAGATATGTATGCACCAACTTGAGGGGGATTGTTGAATAATAGAAAATAATATGTTAGGATAAACTTAAAAAAAATTTGCATCTATCTGTTGGGATAAGATTAGGTTGTTCCATGTTTTTATGCACTAGATTGTTAGTTTGTTTTTATTTTGGAGAAGATTAAGGAATTAATCTCTTCTATATATTCTTGTAATCTGTGTATTATCAATATGATATAGAGAAATATTCTCTCCAAAAGTGCACAAGCATTGATTGAAACTCAAAACCCCCATAATATTTTTAAGTATCCAGATTTTGGCATTCCTTCAAGGAGTAGTAATGGATTCCTTTCAATCTCAAACCTGAAAGAAAAGGCTAACTCCAGGTCAGGTGAGTCTTTTGGAAACTAATTTTATGTACAGATTCTATAGAATGCAGTGGCAACAATCAAATATTCAAAATTTCAAATGTATCACTGAACAAAGTACAAACCAAATCAGCAGAATGCAGTGTTGAAATATGAAATCAAATTTGAAAACCGAAAAGGGTACCAAAGCGGAAGGAAATCTTCTCTTCACATATTTCAATGGCATAAATTTGAAATTCACCAAAATAAAACTTAAACTATAAATTTACATGTTCTTCTTCCATCTAATTCGACTTGAAATTGAATATTTTGGATTATTGGGATGATCTGCAGAGAGGTGGCGATGGACTAAGGAATGGAGGGTTTGCAATCAAACTGCTCCAACCCTATTTAGCAAAACAACCCTAAATGTGCGATGATAGATAGTAACTTCATAAGGAGAAACTTGAGGCAGCCAAATTTGTACGTCATACGTCCTTCACAAAGACATAGGCAGATACTCTTCCACTTTTGAGAACTGATAAGCAAGCTAGGTATGATTGACACATACGACAAAGCTTAAGGGTAGTGCTGAAGATCTTGAGTTTGTGAATAAGAATCATACAGCTTGCACTATATCAAAGGGAATATGATTATTTAACGTTTTGTTGATGATCCTTTCCTCAATAGATTCAATCAATGTACTTCCTTAAATTGGCCTGATTTATTTTCTTATATATTATGTAATTTTCTTAGAATTGTTTTAGTCGTATACTTTTTATGAACACTGTAACATAGTCTAGGTTACTACTTGTTTTCCCTTTAAATATCATAGTCTAGGTTACTGCTTGTTTGTGCTCTTAAATCTTCAAAATGTTAATAGATGGTAGTTTGACATTTTATCTAAAACATCTTGTTGAAATGAAACTCAGACATACCTATGTATGACAGAAGGCTAAAACATCTATGTTCTCTCTCTTTTGCAGTGCCACCTTGGCTTAAACAAATCACACATAGGATCTCTGAAGAATCAAGGTTGTTCCCATCAGCAATTAATCATGTGCTTATCAATGAATACCTTCCTGACCAAGGAATTATGGTTTGTACTGAACTTGCTTTGGAATCTCCTTTCCATTACTTTTTCTGGAAAGGGTTTTGGTATGATCTGTTTTCTAGTTTGTCATTGCATTTACTAACTGTTGTAAATGAGGTGAGAGAGGTGGGGGTTTTGTAAAAGACATTTTTACCTTGAATTCAATAAAAAAATGAAATAAAAGAAAAATCAATATTCTTCGTGGGCGCTCCCTAGAGGATGCCTTATTTGCATAATTTATTTTTCCATTGATATTGTATGTTTGAAATATGGCTCTCATTGGAGACACTGTCCTCTTAAAATGCAGAATGAAGCATTCTGCACGAATTCTTTTCATATTTGGGCTCCCACGGGGACTCAAGTTGGGGGTGAGGAGGGAGGGTTGGAAGAAGAAAAATTTTCTGTTCTTTTTTCATTTTCTTGTTCATCTGAATTTAAGGTGGAAACTGTCTTTAATGTTCATCATCATTATTATTCTTATTATTTTATTACTATATATATTTATTATTATTATTTTTTGTGGAGGGGGGGGGGTGAAGACCATGAGTAGGGACAAATTACAGCTAAAAATTGGAAGTTGAGGGCAACTAAATGCCAAAAGGAAAAAAGGATTTGGTCAAGGGTTGGGGAATGAACTTGCAATATAGACTTCGGAAAATAGCATTGCTTGTTATAAATTTTTGTGCATTTTCCGAGTTGTTAACTTTGAGACTGTATAGTCACTCTCTTGAATTTTCTAAATGATACCTCCAATACAGCCGCACCAGGATGGACCTGCCTATGTACCTGTGGTGGCAATTCTGTCTCTTGGATCGTCTGTTGTTATGGACTTCACTCCCCATCCAAGTTTGAACAACTCAACTGACACATCAGGAAACAATATTGATGATAAAACCTCGAAACCAGCACATATGGCGATGAATTCTAGGGAAGAGTTGAATGAATACCGACCTTTTTCTGTTGTATTGATGCCTCGCAGTTTGTTGATATTTAAGGACAAGGCATATTCAGGTTCATAATTCTTCAATTCCATTTGGTTTTAGTGGTGTGTGCCAACTTTTGGTTCAAGGTAATTATCATAACCATAATTAATTTTTTCACCAGACTACTTGCATGGTATAAAAGATAGAGAGACGCAGCGATATGATGAGGTAAGACAAAGATAACGAGTGTTCAACATTGGAAAATAATGAGGATTCTGACATTTGGTACAAAAGGATTCATTTGTGTTAATACCTTCTCAAATACATTGCACGCACGATCTTTTTCAGTAATTCAGTGTTTTCCTATTTCAGGCTGTAAATGTTGCCAGTAGCATGAAAAGTCACGAACAACCAAAGCCCATGTCAGGCTTGAAGCCGGCAACTGATGACATCGAAACTGGAGGTGACACTGTCATTCACAGGACTAGTAGGAGAATTTCTCTGACATGTCGAGTAGTGATGAAAGTTCACAAAAATCTAATAAAACTTTAAGTCTAGCCTCAAAGGAGGTTGGTAGAATGGAATTTAGCATTTTGGACTTGTAGTATTGGAGTTGATGAGGTCTATCCAAAGAAAACCCTGAATTCAATTGTGAAAATTTATCTCAGGAATTGCTCAAATGGTAATCAAGCTGAGCTCGTGGTGCATTATTAGTTGATTACTGAAAAATATGGATTCATGGTTTTCGCTGTTAAGGACCCATGCGCACCCTTCACAACTTTAATAACCCTATCACTCTGCCTTGAGATGAATTGTTAAGGTCGCATGAATTTGCTGAAATGTCACTAATAATCCCTAACAGCCCAATCGAAAGAGGAGGGGGTTTGAAAAGTTAAAAGTTTGAGAAATTTGTGTCTTTTTTTTTCTTTTTTTTTTATTGGGTAAATAAATATATTGATCAAAATTTTGAGTGCAACTAGTCTGGGCATCTCCAAATTTACAGAATTAACATAACAGTCAGTCTAATGATCCTTTACAAGGAACTGAACATCAATCGAAGTTCATTTTGCCTGACTTGAGGAGTTCATCCCTAGCCTGCCTTCCGGTTTTCTCAAACATATTAGTTATTTTGATATATGATTCTGATGGGTTATTCGTACGCTACCTAGTTCTGATGGTTTTGTGTAAATATATACAGAGAAAAAGGAAAATAGTTAACATCTCTATGTTTTTTGAGTAATGTTTATCGTGTGTTGTTTATCATGTGGGAAGATCAACATGAAAATAATTCAAATTAAAATAGTTATAAAAAGTATAGCTGAACAAAAAAGTTAATTAAGCGACACATAATTCTAGTGAAGAAAATGATTTCAGAAGATGAATAAAAACAATAAGGGCATACAACAGCCATGCTTTGTTCTTCCATGCCGTTAATTTAGCGCATTTGTTATGCTCGACACAACTCAACAGTCCACTCTCCTTTTGTCAAATGCTAACTCTGGTTCAAGAGACGTGTTATGGTGTTAAAGTACTACTATTAAGCATATTGCATTATGTTCAGATAGTGTATGGAGGGGGCAATGGCAAACCGCGGACGATACCACACAACGGTGTGTTGTCAGGCATGTTGTACTCATCCCTCAAGGAACGGGCAGGGGAGAGAACACTGAAGTAGAGTTGTTGTCCCAAGTATACTCTTTCCCACATTTCTGACCTCAAGCTCCACATTCCAGCATTGTCCAATGTTGTCATGACTGCTGCCCATGAGTTGGGGTATACTTGAATGCTGTGCCTGCTCACTGCATCAAGGAGGTTGTAGTTCTTCCTCTTCTCGGGGCTCCACCTTCCTGGCTCAATGGCCACGGCGAAGAAGGAGTAACCATCGAGGTGATATGTCTGGATAGTCCGCTCGTGATTCTCAAAGATGATCTCCACAAAATTCCTGAAGGTGGCATTGAGCACATTGGGAGCCAAAGTCACTTTGGTATTCTCTTGTGGAGGCTCATCCTTCATGAGATCGTACTTGAATACCTTGTCAGATGCTTCAAAGTACTCCGCCAACTTGAGTGGAGTCTCAGAGTCTACATGGGAGACGCCATTGAGGCCAAAGCGAAGTTTACCATCGACGTAGGATCGAGAGTTTGTTAGTTTGATGGTGCGGGTGATGTTGATCTGGCCATAGTGGTAAGAGCCTTGAGGGTTGGGGCGAGCAGCACTGGCTGTCAAGTTCCACCTGAATGAGCGAAACTGGTTAATAGACCAAGCAATGCCTTCAGTATTGTCAGGAGGTGAAGGTGGGAGCTCTGGAGATGCTCGACCATTTCCATTGACATAGCGAATGATAGCAACAGAGCTGAGTTGGTGCTGTGCAAACCTACTGGAAACCACCAAGTAGTAGTCCTTGGGTGCTTGGTTGGCAGTAATCAAGACTGAGAGACATTGTCCAGCATGAAGATCCAAGGAATCATATACATTTTGCACGGTGTGAGAACCTTCCATCTCGACAAGTTTCAAGGTGTGGCCTTGGAGTCTAAAGTTGATGGAGGTCCTCATTCCAACATTGCAGACTCTGTATCTGTATGTCTTGCCAGATTCCATGGTAAAAAGGGGCTCGGCAGCCTTGTCACCAACCTTTCCAGACTTGCCATTGATTTGGATGCCATCAGGCCTGCCAATGGAGCGTCCACTGTCCAAGAGCTTCTTCAAGCTCTTGTGGCCCTTGTTGTACCAGTCACCTAAGACGACAAAGTACTCATCTGCAGGGTTGTCAAATGGAACCGGGATAAGATCTCGACTGTGGACTTGAAGGCCACCGATGGCACCAGATGCCTTGTGCAATCCTGTGGTGGGGAAGTAGTAGAAGCTTCCAATCTGGTCCTTGACTTGGAAATGATAGGTGAAATTCTTGCCTGGCAAGATGGGGCACATTGTACCGAGGGTGCCATCTTGCCAGGAGTTTTTCCTGTGCTGTACACCATTCCAGGTAAGGAGGAATGGCTCGTCAAGATGGTTGAAGACATTAACAACAATGTTGTTGTTGGAAGTGCAGTTGATCGTAGGACCTGGGAATTGGCCATTGATGAGGATGCCTTGTTGGGGAACACCCAATGGGGCAATGGTACCATAGGTGACGTTCCATTCAAAGAAATGATAGGGATCCTCAGCACGAACCATTAATGCCCCAGCTGAGAGGCAGATGAATAATGCCACAAAGGTCGTCCTCCCCATGGCTTGGCTTTACACTCTGCTGCCTGCAATCTCGATTTTTTATTTTTATTTTATTTTTATTTTTATTTTTATTTAAGAATAATCTGCCAAGAAGAAGGAGATGTCTTCTTCCAGCAGAGCTTGGAATGTCTCCTCCTAATCAATGGCTTTATATACATGGAAGGATAAATTCATCTGTGGTCAATTCTTCAACGAATTTCCCTTCTTTTTGCGTTTCCTCTCATTTTGTTCAATACTTTCCTTTCATTTCCTACAATTGCTCTCATCTCCTATAGTCTCCCCTTTCCCTGTACATTCGTTTGCAAATTTGTCATATATATATTCATTATATACACAATATATATATATATTTTTTTTACCCTTGCACATGAGGTAATACTATAAATAGATTCTACAACTCATTATCTAATCTATATACGTTAAATTTCCAATCACAAAAATTTTATCCTTTATAAATTATTGAGTAATATGAATCTTTTTTGCCACCGATTTGATTAATCTCGACATCTACCAACAGATTGGGGGGAATTCATTTCTTTTGCAACTAGTAATACGAATCTTTTTTGCCACTCAGTTTGATCCATATCAACATTTACCATGAGATTCAAAACAATCAATCATTTTGCAACTACGTCACGTCATCTTAAATTTTTTTCACATCTCCCTTCTCTAACTTGTTCAACTTAGAAAGAAGACGGGTAGAGATGTTCATGATAACAGCGACGGATAGAGTTTGGTCATTGGTTAATTATTTCATAGGACCTGGTTTAGAATTGATGCGGCCTTTCGCAGATAATGAACTAACTGTTTGCAATCACTGTTTCATTTGGCACGCAATGGAAGTGCTGCAAGCTCTGGTCATCAAATTTATCTGGACTACATTTTTTTTTTCTTTAATTTTTCACAAATTATGAAGAATCTATGCCCAAATAGATTATACGACACACCCTACTCTTATAGGGCCCTTATATCTGCTAGAAATGAAATTATATCCGCAATAATGTTTCAATGGCCAACAAAAATGTGGACAGGAAGAGAAAGGGGTTTTATTAGTTCCTGTGATTGATGTGAAAGGGGTAATACAGGTTTTCCTTGAAAGACAATATCTCTATAGTTGCATAACAAAATAATAGTAACGATCCAGCACTAAGCCTGAAATTGTGGCCGACAGTTTTAATGCACAAAACAATAAAGCAGCACAAAAATAGAATTGATGTCCCTCCCTCCAAAGGGAAAAATTATAAGCAGGACGTTATATAAGGGCATTTATCTGCAGTTATACTTTACCCCTTTGCAGAACCCAAACATAGACATCATCACTTCAAGGTCACAATCTTGATGATGGATGAAGTTCCAAATCAGTGCAAGGCCACCACAGCATCCCCCACCTTGCAGAGTCCTTCCGTTTGAGCATGTTCAATTGCAAATTCCAGTGCTTCCTCTGCTGATTCTTCATGAGAATCCCCTTGCAGATCCTGAACACAGAACAGGAACCAAACCCCTATAGATAAGGCTGTGCCTAGCAGGGGACTCATCACTACAAGACCAATCAAAGGAATTGGTCTTGATTTTGATTTCAGGAACCACAACAGACAATATTGGCATTCCAGGCCAGTACTTAGCCACCAATTTTGCTGTACTTCCACCTCTTGTTAAGACCAAAATAAGAGCAGCTTTCGCTGAGTGTGCTGTTCAAACTGCAGAAGATGCAAGGCTCTCTAATGGACTCATGGGGACTGGTGTATTAGCCATAATCCTTTTGAAGGCATCACCATAGTCAATTGTACTCTCAGCCTCTATACACATCTTGGACATGGTATGAACTGCAAGTTCTGGATAAGCCTGCAGCTGTTTCCCCGCTGAGCATCACACTGTCTCTTCCATCAAGAATAGCATTGGCAACATGCGTGGCTTCTGCTCAAGTTGGTCTTGGACACTTGATCATAGACTTCAACATCTGTGTTGCAGGGACAACAGGCTTCCCTTGGATATTGCACTTGTTTACCATCACCTTCTGAGCTAAAAAAAATCCTCACAATAGGAATTTCCTTCCCCAGATCACCTCGTGCCACTGAACGCATTTGAGTTTGGCGAGAATGTCATCAAAATTTGCCATCCCTTCTTTAATTCAGCCTAATAAAAAAATGGAAGTAATGATAAACAAGAAAATATATGATTAGCTCTCAACAAGAGAGGCTGTAAAAGATATCATGGGAAAACTTCTGGTCTCACTTTCATGATCCTCGGTGAAAAACCAATCAACAGAAACTTATGAGATCATTTATGGTCATGTGTATACAAGAACATCTTAGAGAGCTGTAATTCTTATGTCTCTGAATTTTAATTTACTTTAATTCACAATCAAGTCAAGTATAAACATTAGTATTTACATTCTTCTATGCAATCGTTTTTATAAAAATAATAATAATAATAAATAAAATAAAAAAGAAACAACTATTGACATACATATCAGGCAATTTGATTCCCAAACTTCTCGTTAATAGAACAAACTTCTCGTTAATAGAACATGATTGAATTTATTTAGTTTAAAGCTAAAGCAATGACCTCAATTTCAAACCTTTGACATAAGAAGGATGCTTTTGGCATGTTCACCCAACGACTTTCCGACGTCCTCCAGATCTGAACCTCTGTGAACAAATGAAAGAGCAATCATGTCAATATTATTTGGAACTCCCCAGTTTAATATATCTTCCTTGTCTTTTTCTGTCAAAGTTGGGAGATCCACGATAACCCCTGGCAGGTTGACATTCTTCCTCTGACCAAGAACTGCAGTATTCTCACAGCGGCACCGAACTAAGCCTTGTACTTTGTCACAAGACAAAACATTAAATGAGATTGTTCCATCTGCACACAGTATTACACTTCCAGGCTTTACACCCACTGCCAGTTTTTTGTAGGTCATGCAGATCGTATTCTCATCACCTTTGATGCTATAATCAGTGGAAATTGTGATTTCATGGCCTTGTTTCAGTTGGACAGGTTTCCCACCTTTCAAGAACCCTGTTCTGATTTCTGGACCCTGTTTTATTGCACATAGAGTGAATGTTCAATAAATGTCCATTTAACAAGGTTCAAAACAATTCAATCAATAAAAGTAAAATACAAATTGTCATTAACCAGATCTAAAATGAAGTTTGGCCAGCATTATTGACATGCTGTAAAAATAATAAAAATCACGGACAACGCGCTCAACAAGCTTTAGGAAAAGATGATTTGCCAACTGGAACACTTCTTAGTAGCTTAGACAGAAATAGATTTTGCAAAAGATTGAAAGAGCTTGGAAATTGGTAGCCCAAGCTTTCTATACAAGACATGCTGCTTTGATATTATCATACTATACATTGACGTGGACATAAAAATAATAAAAATAAAAACAGCACTGCAACATAACACAAAAATGGCAACATAATATCACACCTGCACTTCATTCGGTTATAAGCAAAGACCATCAGCTATCCTGATAATAGGTGTTTGTAGCTTTATGCACAAAATGGATCAAACTGAAGGTTAATAATTGATACGATTGGGGATGCATAGAGAGAACAATATATGTATCGAAAAAGAAAACGTAAACAGGGACCTTAGTGTCGAGCATGACGGCGCAATGGATACCGGTTGTCGAGGGTCTCCTGGTGATACTTGTGGGACCCATGAGAGAAACTATATCGAGCAAAAATCATCCCCGCATGAAGGAGCTTCGACCCTGGGCACCGACCGGGACGCCGGGCCCAGAGTGCATACAATCTTGGTCTTGGACCTCCTCTCTCTGATCAATTTTCCGTTCATCTCCATGGTATATTTGCCAGATCGCTTGAATGATAAATTTGTATTGACACCAAAATTGGAATGATAAGAATTTTATTCTGGTGTTTCAGGCTGCTTGGTTAACAAGCTGTGCTCTGCTCAATTAATTTATTAATTATTAATAACAATAGGCATGCCTACCTTATGCGTTGGGTTTGGCAAATGGATTCGGACCTCGATAAAGTTACGTGGAAATTACACCACATTCAGGGTTCGAGTTCAAATCGGACAGATCGCAAGCATTGAAAATTTATTGTCAACGGCCAACATCCATAATAACGGGAATGTTTATTAATATTTAATTAAATAATATTCAAAAAAATTGTATGGACTAGAATTAGAAGAACTGGATACACCACTAGAACTATAATTAAGTACGAACTTTCATTTCGGATGAAAAAAAATCGTTCTATAATTTGCAAAATGCTCTAATTTATTTTTTATTTAAACGAGCAATATATATTAACAAAATGTCAATATTCAGTCTAAAATTAAAGTTAATTAAACAAGTATTATTATATTAACAAAGTTGAAATTATTTATTTGCTTATATCAATTTTATGTGCTTGTATGATTACACTTTTTCGCAATCGATTTGTTGTGAACGAAAAGTGAGACACATATCCTCTCTCTCTCTCTCTCTCTCTCTCTCTCTCTCTCCGTCTCTCTCTCCTTAAGATGAATTCCACAGCCATTTTCTATAGGGTTTGATCTGCCTTCACAATTCCTTTATTGTGACAGATTGAAGATTCAGAGGCTCAATCAAAGGCGCAAGGTGTAAATTGCTTCGCTCCCAAGAGTTGTAGATTATTTGGGGTTGCTGCAGGTATGTTAATAATTCATAAATTTTTTGTTATATGGCTGTATTCTGTTTTTAATGTAACCCAAGAAAATGAAGAGGGGGAGAATGTGAATTATTCCCAGAGTGCACTAATGGTTAAGCTACTTTGGCAAGGAGAATAATTCACAAATGAATGTCTATTTAAGAATTTTCGAGAATTTTGAGAAAAAATAGGGTTCAGGAATACAAAATATGTTCATTCATAATTGTTTTGAATGTAATTTCCATAGCTTGAGAGAAATTACAAATGGTACTGACAATTTAGGAAAATTACATGGTTTTTCCATTTGGAACTCGAAGGGCTTGTGAGGGATTTGCAATTATAATTTCAAGAATTTAGGACACGAATTTCTAGATAGAACTCATTTTTGAATAAAAAGAAAAACAAAAACTAGCCAGATATACTGAACTATTGCTCATGGTTCTTGAAATAATGATGGAGGTGTCATGTGGATATCATCATCTAGTTCTAACTATGTTTTTCTGTTGGATTGGAATTCTTTCAATGATTGGCATTTCACTTTTGCATCTTATCCAATGATTTTTGTTACTTACCTTCTGTGATGATTGTCCGGTGTTTTTCAGTAACATCTTTCTCTCTCATCTCACTGTTGTACAGGCTTGTCCGTTGTTGCTTCTCGTTTTCACTAAGGTATGTGAACCATCAGTGGCTTCATTTTGAGTGAGGTTGCTTACTGTTATAGTTAAGCTACTTTGGAGTTTGGTTTTTTCTTACAATTGTTCATAACGTATCCATATTGTGCTATGAGAATTAGAATTTGTGTTATGTGACTATAATTAAATAAATTGATATGTTTCTCGATAATTTGATGAATATTCAATATAGAACATGGGTAGTCACAGAGTTAGGATTAAGAAACCAATGTCATGGGTGGATGAGAATTAACACGCTTTTATCGAAATTCTTTACGAGAAAGTGAAATCAAACATATTGCAATGTTCTACATTCATGAAAGACAAAAGGGGGCAGGATCAATGAAACTATGATAACTTCAACAAAAATGGATTACGACATAGATAGATTAAAGGGAAAGTAAAATCGCTTACGTAAGATTCACCGTATGTTCTATGAACTTTTGGGACAGGTGTTTCATGGGATCCTAATACCAACAAAGTTAATGCTGCAGAGGAAGTTTAGCAATACTTTTACACGGTATATATATTTATTACAGAATATTAACGTCATTAGTTTTTTATCTTATCAATTTTACCCCTTTTCGTTGAACATTATGACAATGTGGCTTCTTTTTTCAATGGTGGATTAACAAGTCAGATTACAAAATGTTCAAGAGGGAAGGATGTAAGTATTACCACACTCTTGAGGAGATATTTAGCGGGACTACAGCTACTGGAGAATTAGGCAATGCCTCCACTCAGCTCTCAAACTCATCAGAGGAAGAAAGGCAGCTGGAAGATTATTTTTGAATATGGGAGTGCATGTATGTGTGGATCATGACGATGAAGTCGATAAGGTTTCAAATACTCGTTGACGTGAGAAAATTGGTACATCGGAAGAATGCCGATGTAAGGAACCTAAAATAAGTAAAAGTGATAGACTTAAGGCCTGCATGGCACAGTGGTCATCTACAGTTAGTATGAGGAATGAAGAAACTGAACTTGGAACACTTTACCTGAAATAAAAGCTTACAAAGATCCAATGAAAATCATGTAATCAATTGGATAGTCAAGTTAATAGTCCGGATTCTTATTCAACTGTTATTTACTTAGACATTTAAACAATATGGAATTGGTGTCCAATGAGGTTTATATGAAAGCAATGACGACTTTTAAAGATCCCAATTTCAGGGTGTCATTTATGAAAATGTCAAGGGCAAGGAGAGGACTTATCCTAGAATTACTTGGATATGATCGTCATTTTGATTTCTCTAGTATCTTGTTGTTTTCCATTCTCATTATGTTGAAGGTTGAATAACTGTGTTATTTTCACATCTTTAAGTACTTTTTTCTATTTTTGGTGATGTTGTACTGTTTCATTTATGAACTTAGTAATGTTGTTGGTTGTATAACTGATGATGTTAATTTTTCATTTTAATTTCTCAATGCTTCATTGCTTATTTTATTTGAATTAATGATGGTTGATATGACTTTTGATCATTACTGTGGATATATTTTGTTCACAGTATGGCCAGTGAATCAAATGTGGATGAAAATGTGAGTACCGATGATGCTATTGATGAAGATTTGAGTGATGATGATTTGTTATTTATAGATAATTTTGATGCAAATTTTGGAGATTTAATGATGCTTATCTGCTTTGTTGCCAACAAAGGAAGTATCATCGGCAGGAGACCTTGTAGAACATCATTGCTTACGGGAAAATGTATATGCTAGAAATTCTGAATGAACATCCAGATGTGTGCTATTGTAATTTTCGTATACAGAAACATGTTTTCATGAATTTTTGTTATTTTGAAATAGAAAGGGCTGTTGAAGGATGGAAAAAAGTGAGCATCGAGGAGTGTGTTGCTATGTTTCTAATGATTATAGGACACACACACGATACAATATTATTGGTGATAGGTTTCAGACACTCCAACAACACGATACACAAATGGTTCAAATGAGTTGTAAGGCTTGTTTGTTAGTTTGACATTGAGATAATCCATCCGACAAATCAAGACATTGTGCATGAGCGAATTTTGCGTAAATATCCTTTCTTTAAGGATTGTATAGGCACAATAAATGAAACACATGTTGAAGCTTGGGCACTTGCATCTTGACAAAGATCTTTTCGCGGAAGGAATACAAAATGTGATGTTGACATGTGATTTTGATATGAAATTCACATTTGTGTATTCTGACTGGGAATGTACTGCTAATGATTTGCAAGTATTCATTGACACGGATACAAGAAGCTCGAACAACTTTCCAATGTCAAAGGAAGGTTTATTCTTATATAAAATAATTATTTCGAATATATTTACATTGTTACATTATGTAAATCCTTTTTTTATTTTACAGATCAATTTTACCATATTGATTCTAGCGATCCAAACATGCTTGAATTTCTTGCCCTTTATCGAGGTCAAAGATATCATTTACGTCACTATGTTGGATTTGGAAGACTATATGGGAAGGAAGAATTGTTCAACTATAGACACTCCTTGTGCTGTAACATTATTGAACGTTGCATTGGAGCTTTAAAGACAAGATTTCCAATTTTGAAGTTGATTACCAACTATCCACTTAGTAGGCAAAGACAAATTCCTACTGTATTTTGTGCAATACACAACTTTATTCGCCAGGAGCACACTTTAGATAAGTTGTTCGTTAAGTATTCGGAGGATAATATAGTGTTTCAAGATATACCGAAATCAAGTCAAGATCAAAAAATCATACATTTTGATGCTAGTCAAATAGCTCAAATGGGACAACTCAGGGATCAAATTGCTACACAAATGTGGAATGACTACTCAAGACGTTGTACATGATTTCGTGGATTTATTTTATATTTTGTTCAGTGTCTTCGTGTTTTGCCACGTAAACTTCTAATTGTATCTATTGAATTATGTTGCCAAATTTAATTTAGATTGTGTTCTTTTTTTTGGGAAAAAATTTCAAGATTCACCAACTTAAAATTTTATATATTATTTAATACTATATTAACATTTAACTATTAAAATTTATTGAATAATAATATTTCTTGAATAAATTATTGTAAAAAAAGATTCTCAAAATTTCAAAATGAAAGCGTTTTTAAGTTTTGTGTTCTAGAAAACAGTTTTCCAGAATAACAAAAAGAACGTATTTTTAGCAATTTCAAAAATAGACACTCAAAATACAAAACTCAAAATGAATTCAAAATTTAAAACTAAAAATTGAAACACGAAGAAAACAGTCACTAAGGATTTCGGTTTTTGTGAAAAGCGGAAGGGAAAGATTAGGGCGGGTTTGAATGAGTAAATTTAGTGGGTGTTTGGTGGTATTAAAATTAGATTTTTTAGTAGATTATGATAGGGGATTTTGAAATGTGTGATTGAAAAGTTGTAGGACCATGAAAGATGTGATTAATATTGATTAATTGATTTTGATTTAGATTAAAATCATATTTTACTCGTCTATCCAATCATTCCATCCATCACCCATTTAATCTCCATTAACTTCAACAAACAGAATGTGTAACATGACGAATGAAAATCTGATATGCCACTTAATGGACTTTAAATCAAGCCAACTGAGCCATAATCACTAAAATCCCAACAGTATAATAACAAGCTTCTATGTAGCCCCAAAAAAGGAAACAAATTCGTAAATCCAACATAAAAAAATTATAATATGAACAAAATAAATTTAAATAAAAAATAAGGAAAAAATACTCTCCGTGGACGAAGAGAATCTCTCCATCGACGGAGGAAACTCTCCTTTTAACTCCGTGCACGAAGTGATCTGCATGGAGTGGAATCACTCTGTGCACGAAGTGGCGATAATTTTTTTTAATTTTATTATAGTAATTTTTTTATTAATAAATATTTAATTTAAAAAAATAAATATATCTAAATATATTGAAGTTAATATATATTTTTTATCTATAAATAAGTAGCTTTAACAAATATAAGTTTTTTATTACTTTTAAATAATTTGAAGTGGTTTTTTTTATTTAATCACTTACAAATTGCACGGAGAGTGGTGAATCTCACCGTGCATGGAGTGATTACCTTCTTCTTTTTTCTTCTTTTTTCTTTTTTTAAATTATAGTAATTTTTATTGATAGTTAATTTAAAAAAATAGATATATCTAAATATTTACTTAAAAATGTTGAAGTTAATATTTTTTTTTTTAACCTATATGTAGCTTTTACAATTATAAGTTTTTTCTATTATTTTTAAATAACTTGAAGTGTTTTTTGTACTTATAAGTAATTTTTTACATCCTAAATAGTGTAATCTTTTTATTAATATTTAATTTAAAAACTAAATATATCTAAATATTTATACTTAAAAAATTTTAAGTTAATATTTTTTTACTCATAAGTAGCTTTTACAATTATAAGTTCGTTTTACTTTAAAATAACTTGAAGTGATCTTTTTAGTTATAAATAACTTTTTACAGTTTAGAAATAAAGAATAACTTTTACGTAAAAAAATATTCTAAGAATATTATTACTAATAAAATTATAGGACATGATTGATAGTTGATGACATAAGAAAATTGAAAAAGAATACTGTGTGTCAGATTCAAAGTATGTAAGTTGCAGATAAAATAGAAAACGACATCGTTTCTGTTCCACCAATTAAAAAAAAACTACAGTGTGACAAAAATATTATTTAAAAAATATTGCTACTAATAAAATTATAAAATTATAGAATATGGTTGATAATTGATAGTGTGAGAAAATGGAGAAAAATCATTGTGTGTTAAATTCAAAGGACCAAACTAGTTTCAAACAAGTTCAATGTGAAAATCAATGTGATAAAAATAAACGGTAAACCTCATATTCTCTCTTTCAAGATAAGGAGGAAAAAATTACTATTGAAAAAATTCTCCTTTCACGTAGTTACCTTTTTTTTTTTTTCCTTTTTAAATTATAGTAATTTTTTATTAATAGTTAATTTTAAAAAATTAAATATATCTAAATATTTACTTAAAAATGTTGAAATTAATATTTTTTATCTATAAGTAGATTTTACACTTATAAGTTTTTTTATTACTTTTAAATAACTTGATGTGATTTTTTACTTATAAGTAACTTTTTACGTTCTAGATAGTGTAATATTTTTATTAATATTTAATTTAAAAATTAAATATTTCTAAATATTTATACTTAAAATATTTAAATTAATATTCATTTACTTATAAGTAGCTTTCGCAACTATAAAATGATTAACTTAAATTTTTTAAAGTTTAAATATTTAGATATATTTAGTTTTTTAAATTAAATATTAATAAAAATATTACACTATCTAGAACGTAAAAAAGTTATTTATAAGTAAAAAATCACATCAAATTATTTAAAAGTAATCAAAAAATTTATAAGTGTAAAAGTTACTTATAGATAAAAAAAAATATTAACTTGAACATTTTTAAGTAAATATTTAGATATATTTAATTTTTTAAAATTAAATATTAATAAAAAATTACTATAAAAAAACAAAAGCAAAAGAAAAAAAAAAAAAAAAACTTGCATGGAGTGTTATTACTCCATGCACTCCATGCAACTTCATGGAGACCGTGCACAGTTACCTACTTTTTTTCCTTCTTTTTTTCCCTTTTTAAATTATAGTAATTTGTTATTAATAGTTAATTTAAAAAAATTAAATATATCTAAATATTTACTTAAAAATGTTGAAGCTAATATTTTTTATCTATAAGTAGCTTTTACAATTATAAGTTTTTATTACTTCTAAATAACTTGATGTGATTTTTTACTTATAAGTAACTTTTTACGTTCTAAATAGCGTAACTTTTTCTTAATATTTAATTTAAAAAACTAAATATATCTAAATATTTATACTTAAAAAATTTTAAGTAAATATTTTTTTACTCATAAGTAGCTTTTACAATTATAAGTGAATGAGAATTAATATTTTTTTTACCTATAAGTAGCTTTTACGATTATAAGTTATTATTATTTTTTTTAAATAACTTAATGTGCTTTAACTTTTTACATTCTAAATAGTGTAATCTTTTTATTAATATTTAATTTAAAAACTAAATATATCTAAATATTTATACTTAAAAAATTTTAAGTTAATATTTTTTTACTCATAAGTAGCTTTTACAATTATAAGTTCGTTTTACTTTTAAATAATTTGAAATGATCTTTTTAGTTATAAATAATTTTTTACATTTTAGATATAAAAAATAACTTTTACGTAAAAAATATTATTACTAATAAAATTATAGGATATGGTTGATAGGTAAATCAAATTAAACAAATAAAATAAAAGAAAAGTTACAAAAATTAAATAAATAATATATAAATAATATTTAATTAATTAAATTGAAAAAATAAATTTTACCATAAAAGAATTAAAAAGAATATAATATCGAAATATAATATGAACAAAATTATTTCTCCATAAAGAAAAAAAATCTC